AATCAGGATACTTTTGTGGAAAAGACATATTCCTCTTTAAGACACGCATCCTGTGTTTCTGCAGGGGAAGTTGTGCCTCAATCTTCCCAGCCTATAGCTCATTTATTCTTGGGAAATAAGTTTGTATTATTGAGACTCAGAGCTGAAAATTCAGTCTATTACTTACCTACTGGTGAGATTTTCAAGTTAGGACTAGAGCTATGTGTCTATTTTAGTCACCAGACCATGGAATGAAATTTTTATTGAAGAGAAAAGGCTTGATTTACTAGTCATGCTGGAATTCAGCAGGTGAAGCTTTCTAGGGCAGGTCATTTCTGCTCCATTTTGATTTTGTTGGGAAGAAAACAGAGGGAGGCTTTTGCACCAGATGTGTGGCATGCCCAATGCTTTTGCTGAAAGACAAACGAGGATTGGAGTTTAAAATTGCTAACTTGTATAAAAGTCCTTGGGAGCACACCACCCAAACTTCCAGTGAATGCTTCTTATGCCAAGTTTCCCTGCTGAATTTCTCATTTACATATGAAATCTCCATTGGTGTAGGTCTTAAAGGGGCCTGCAGTAGAAATATCTGATCATTATACAGTGCGTCCCTGGGGAAATCATGTTTCATTTGAATTCCACAGGAGAAAAGAGGTGATTAAGGCATTACTTTATTTCTATTTATACATATGTTTACTTCAAGAGGAGTTGAATCTGTGTTGAAAGTATTTTTATGGGGTATGCAAACTTATAACATTAGACCAACATTAGAAGGGGAAAATGAGGAGTTATTGTTTAACGGATATGAAGTTTCAGTTTGGGAAGATCAAAAAGTTCTAGATCAAAAAGTTTTAGAGGTGGACAGTGGTGGTGGTTACACACCATTGTGAATGCACTTCATGCCACTGACATGTGCACTTAAACATGGCTAAAATGGTAAATTTTATAGTTTATACGTATATGTTTTACCATGATAAAAAAACTCAACCAAACTATCAAAAGTTATGTTTTTAGATATTTTAATTACATTGAAGCATTTCAGGGGCAGCTCCTCTTTTAGGAAGGAAACAGCACCCTAAATGTAGTAAGCATTGCCTTTCACGTCAGTCTAATCAGTCTAAGGGTATTGTTGGATCACAGGAGATTCAGGTCCTCCTAAAAAATAGCTTGCCGCTGCAGTAGAATTGGGAAATTACTAATTGGAGCGTACTGGTCAACCTTAATTGTCACTCAATTCAGAATCTTTAATTACTACTCTTTCCCAGCAAACTGCCAGTCTTCCAGGGAATGTGCTGTTGTTATTACCTCCAACTATAGACTAGTTTATTTTGCCACAGATTACCAAATTACAACACATGCAAAGGAAAGAGATATAGTTTTAGAAATAACTGCTAATGATGTTGATGTTTATGTTGGTGGTGAAAAGCATAACTATGGATAAGAAAAACACCCATATGTGAACTAAAGAGAATGTGTCAGTAAGTTTTACACAACTAACTGTATTAGTTCTTTTAATGGACCTATCTATCGGTCTGAGCCAGTTGGTGAATACTGGAAAAAAAAGGAGAACGTTTTTCCTTAAAATGTTCTCTCCTGGTTCAGAGTAACATGTCCATTACCCACTGTCACTCACAAGTGTCTCCTGAACAGTTGTCATGATTCTGTGGTCAGGCTGCTGCTATTATGTAAATATGGGTCAACTCCAAAGGGCGGGGGTAGGTGAGAGGGAGGAAACTGGGTGGTACACGTTTAAGGATGTCACAGGAGCCTCCTGGGGTACTGCACTCTCCACGCCAGAAAATCAGGTGACTGGACTAGGAGAGAGGAGATTTTGAATTAGTCCTATTTCTGGGACTATTGAACTGTTTGATTGTAGGAAAACCACTGTGTAGTTGTACTTTAGTTCCCTCCTCTGTATAATGAAGAATTTGCAATACATGGTTTCCGAAGTCTCCTTCCCGACTTACATACATATTGATTGTATGGTTTGCCGCAACCATTAAACCCCACTGTAACTGTGACAGTTTTTCTGAAGGGACCAGGCAGCAGTGGAGGTTTCCTCCTGTCATTGGCCTGGAGAGAGAAGCTGGCCGCAGAGCTCTGATGAGAAGAGACTGATGCTATAGAGTGGGCTGGCAATCTGGTGTCTTGTAAATTGATATCTTGGTGTGTCATTGCTAGGAATAGAAACCTACTAAATTTAACACAAGTAAAATGGGAAATTTACTGGAAGTACACAGAATTTTCATAGAATTTAAGGACAGGAATTTTAGCTGGACCTCACAGGGGACTGGAAATCAAAAACTGGAAAGATGGGAACTAAGATGACCACCTCTCAGATAATTGTCTTCTCTTTTCCCTTCTTTCTCTCCTTGTCCCTTCTTTTTCCTCTTCTCTCGAGTTCCTCCCCGCTTTTCTCTACCAGTTTTGGACATTTTGCCCATGCCTCATCTAATTTTTATACCAGATTTCTGTATCAACATGAAAGAGTGCCCAATTGGAGCTCTGTATATGCACTCCAAAATCCAAGCATGAAAGACTCTCTTC